ATATAGATATAGATATAGATATAGATATAGATATAGATATAGATACAGATATTAGTTATTTCTGGTAACTGTTAATGGACTTTTCCTGATGAATACTGAATGATGAAGCTATATTATAATAGATAGAAGATGAGAAATGGGATGAAGAGATTTTTGGTTGAAATATCAGAGAACTGGATCAGTTACTGAAATTGTACTTGTCTTGATGGAGAGGAAATCTCTTTTTTCTTTATATTATTCCTTTTCCTCCCCCCCTTTTTTCCTTGTCTCTGCACTTTTTATATTTTATATTTTTCTTAGTTTGCATTCGTTTTTTATCTTTCTATTTTTAAACTTCAATAACATATTATTAAAAAAAAGAAAAAGAAGACATATTCCAGAATGGGGGAATGATGCAATATGGAGGATTGAGCAGCAATTTTGACCACAATGTTACAAGAGAAGATTAGAGAGATGGAACAGGTTTCCTCATGCGGCCAGCTCCATACGTGGAATGTACAGAACGTGAAAAAGGTAACCTAAGCTCTGAGGGTTATTGGAATGTGGATTTCACGAAGGGCATTTATTCTGCCCAGTGATCTGACCCAGAAAATGTATTGCACAAACAGAAGAAACCCATCACAAAAGCTTTGGAGGGACAGGCAAAGAATAGCCCCCAAACTATTGTATGCATCACAAAGCTTTTCGTAAGTGTGATATAACACATTTATGGCAAATGAATCGCATGAATATGTGCTCCTAAATTTTGTCTGCAACTCACCTGAAAATGGCTATTCTTTGAAATGTTTTTTTCAGGGCATTTCTAACTTCTTTATTCCTTAAACTATATATGATGGGGTTGAGCATAGGAATGATCACAGTGTAAAAGAGTGCCACGATCTTGTCTTGCTCCAAGGAATAGCTGGAGCTAGGCCGCAGGTACATGAAGAGAAGAGTCCCATAGAAAGTGCTGACAGCTATCAGGTGGGAAGAGGATGTGGAGAATGCTTTATAAATGCCGTCCAGTGAGTGCATCTGGAGGATGGTGGCAAGGATACAGCAATAGGAGATTATCACTATGGATGTGGTGGCAACCGCATTAAATCCTGCAAAAGCAAATAGTAGAATCTGAATGAGTTGGATGTCAGAACAATAAAGAAGAGTCAGAGGAGGTCCATCACAGAAGAAATGGTTGAGGATGTTGGAAGTACAGCACTTTAATCTTAAGCGAGATCCTAGTTGTATGGATGCATTCAGAAATCCGACTACGTGGCACAACACCACTAATGGAATGCAGACGGTTTTGGACATGATGGTTGTATACATCAGTGGGTTGCAGATGGCCACATACCGGTCATATGCCATCACAGCCAGAAGGTAGCATTCAGTAGTTGCAAGACCTGCATAAAAATAGAGCTGTAAGGCACATCCAGTGTAGGAGATGACTTTCCTCTGTACCAGGAAGTTCACCAGCATCTTGGGGGTGACAACGGATGAGTAGCAGAGGTCTAAGAAGGATAAGTTGCTGAGAAGGAAATACATGGGGGTTTGAAGGTGAGAGTCAGTTTTCACAATCACAATGATCCCAATATTCCCCACTACAGTGGTAATATAAATCAGTAAAAATATCACAAAGAGTGCACGCCGTAGGGCAACATGATCTGTGAATCCTAAAAGAATGAACTCGTCCACTTCAGTGCAGTTTCCTCCAGCCATCTCAGTGGTTTAATTTATTCCATACTGAAAGAGAAAATCATGCACAATTGGATCTCAAAACTGAAGG